TCTCCTTCTCCTTCTCCTTCTCCTTCTCCTTCTTCTCTCTCTCTCTCTCTCTCTCTCTCTCTCTCTCTCTCTCTCTCTCTCTCTCTTCCTTAGGGTAATAGAGTTTAGAGGAGTTTTTGGCAATTGTTTCAGATAGGCTGTTGAGTGTGAAACTTTGTCTGAGAAAAGAAGTTATACTTTGAGGTTTATCAGAAACCTAGGTATTTTGAGTTTTCACAGTTAGAAAAGGAAACATAGACCATAAATGGAGCTATAGGAGAGGTACAGTTATCACTCATAGCTTCCCTTGGGGTACAGGAGCCAAGCACTCAAAGAGAGAACCAGGCTTGCTATATCTGGGTCATTTGAGGATGAGTCAGAAAAAGGAAGCCTTGAATACAGCTGAGAGTAGAAATGTAGAACATAGGAGAAATCACTCTGGGTGTAGGACAAGCTAAGGACAGTCAAAGGTGATGAGATCAGAAGGATTCAGAGATGAGAAATAGAATGGCTGTAAAAACTCAGAGTCTGGGTACTCTGTCAGTTTGAAAGTCTTTTTCTTCTGTACTATTATGATCTTCTGGATCCCATGTTGTTGCACTGTAGAAGCCAGGAGGGTTGTGTTTCCAGGATTATCCAGCCACACTCAAACATAGGAAAACTAACCCAGGACTTCCTAGAGCATTACACTGAACCTTGGCATCCAACATCAATGTTGAGTGACCCAGTATCAGGCCATCCCACACCAAAGATTGGCCAATCCAACTTGCCAAGTGAACAGAGTTCTCTTGGAGAAGTGGACTCCACATTCTGAGTCTCATGCTCTGAAAATTAATTTAAATTTTTATAATTTGTATTCCAAGAGGGAGACTGAGATCATCAATGAGGCTCAGTTTTCCCACATCTGCCTGTAAATGGAAAAGATTAACGGGGGCACAGGAACACCAAAGACAGACAAGGGACAGAGACAATGAAATGATCCAACAGAGGACACAAATTGGTGGCCACCAGGACAAACCGGATCCTGAGGATTTGCAGTGCTCCCCTGGCTAGAACCTAGACTCAGGAATTCTTACATTCTTTCCAGATTTTACCATGAGTCCCATTATGATTGACACTTAAGGCTTAGTAGAAACCCAAAACTTTGTTTCATCTTACCTCCAAGGGTCCCAAATACAGGTTCATATGTGGACTCCTTCAAAAATTTTAGAGGACAAATTGGTAGGGGGGAGAGGGAACAATTTTTCAATGGCCTCCCTATTACCAACAACTCTTACCCTTACATAGAAGGCCTCTACCTTAGGGGTGAGGGGTCTTTTCCTCAGGCATTTTTGTGGGACCTCGAAATGTTATATGGTTTGAAGAATAAAAAAACAAACACCTTAAAGGCCTGAATAAGTCAAATTAAACACAGCCTTTATTTATAACCAGTAGTCTTGTCCCAGAGAGAGAAGCAGCCACAATCTCTAAACTTGTTCAAGATTTCAATAACAAAAACTTCGATTGAAATGTATACAGAATGGCTTATGTGAACATAAGCAACAAGGAAGCATTGTTTACAGAATGGAGAGAGAGCACTTAGGACTCAGATATTTCTCATAGCTTTGAGGTCAAGAACACATTGTATAGCAATTTATGGCTGTTCCAGAGACCAATTTACCCAACATAGTTTTAGCACTTAAAGTATCCTTAGGAATACTTTCATAGGATGGCATAACTATAGTTCAGAGTCCACTACAAAGTAAACAAAATGTTCCAGTGGCTACCCCTTCCTGAGTCCATCTTCAGGATCCTGACATGGAATATAAATTTAGGTAAAGGACAAGAGGTGTGTGTAACTAAGTAGTCCTTTTCAAGGTGTAGTTCCATCCATCAATGTGGAATATCATCTAGAATGAGCTGAAAATCTGCCCGCAAGACTGAGGGAAACATAGGTCTTACATATGTAAGTCTGTATAGTCACTCATTTGGCCAATACAGTTTCTAGTATTTAACACATTGGATTCACATATCTGGGGAGAAAGATCTGGCTAAACAAAGTTGTCTTACCTCCTAGGTCTGGATCTGGCTAACAAAATGCCTTCACCTAGAACCCTGAAGACTCATTTGCCTGTTCAGATGCTTCCACCTTCCTTCTGGAAAGAAAACTCAAAGGTAAGATCAACCTAATTTTATTCATTAAAACAGAAACACCCAGTGGAAACTCTAGGGCACATGGTGCCATTACCTCAGAGCCCACATTATCCTTTTTGCACCCATCTTTCCTGCAGAAGATAATTGTTGGGTACCATTGGAAGTTTCCATGCAAAGTTCTGATCATCTGCCCACTAACCTGTGTTAAATGAGAGAAGTCAATACAAAATATGGGTTTCCTGATTGAAGGTGGAGTTTTAATTTGAAACCTCTATGATGTGGGGACAAAGAAGGATTTAAATGAGAAAACACTCTATCTGGGGAAACCTGCATGGGTAAAGTAAAACATGATAATGAGTTTGTGGATCTCTGGGACCCTACAAAGCAAAAGCCAGGAGAAATCTAAAACCACAGACTGCAGGGCAGGTCCATACAACATTGAACAATCTATTAAGAGTTCTTCCAAGCCGGGCGGTGGTGGCGCACGCCTTTAATCCCAGCACTTTGGAGGCAGAGGCAGGCAGATTTCTGAGTTTGAGGCCAGCCTGGTCTACAGAGTGAGTTCCAGGACAGCCAGGACTACACAGAGAATACCTGTCTCAAAAACAAAACAAAACAAAAAAACAAAAAACAAAAAAAGAGTTCTCCCAAAACCAACTATCCAATCTAAGCGCCTTACCTGTCTCTGGGTTTCTGCTGTGCCAACTCCTTAGCCACAAACATCTGTTTTGAAATATGCCCTTGTCCAGAAAATGATAGTTTATTAAGACTGTAGTAGCTAAGTCCATCTGACAATACCCTTCCTACAACCATAGACCAAACAACATTCTAATGAACACCAATAAAAACATGTCCACCTTGTAAGCAAAACTTGGTACTCTTTCTCTTGGAATGACAACTCTAATTTGATAATGTATAGAAACTTAACTACCTTCATGAAGCTAGATTTCAGTATAGTGTTTCTGTTTCCTCTATTTAATTTGTTTTGACACTTTTTAATTGTAATCCTATACAAGTGTAGACAGATTCTTACTAAACTCAAACCTCCCAGACATTTTTCATCTCTGCACATACCAACAAACAGATAAAGGAAGAAGGGTTTGATAGTCATTTCATCAACAAGTCTTGAAATAAACAAAAAGTTTATTTGAAGAATTATCAGTACCACAGCAAACAGACCACATGTCAGGGGATCTGACAAGAATTCAAGCCTACGAGGCTTGTTATAGGTCAGAATGTTTCATACAGTCAGTCTGTTAGATACCTAGGCAGCTCAGGGTTAGAAAGAATTCTCGGATAGGAATGTGCAACTCCAAGAATATTGGAGAGAAGGGACACACTTAGTTAAGATGTATCTGAAGTTCAGAAGAGTGTTTTGCAGTGGTAGCCCAATAATGGACTGACCCTAACATGAGCATATAAATTTTCTCAAGAAAATGAGAATTATGTCTCCCATTCTCCTGGAATTCAAGCACCTAAGGAATCTGTTATGGGGTTAGAGATTCACACTCTCTCCTAACTCTTCACAGTTAGGGTTTCCCTTCCTGTAAAGAGACATCACGACCAAGGCAATTCTTATACAGGCAAACATTTAACTGGGACTGGTTTACAGGCAGCAGAAGTAGAAAACTACCTCCCACACTGGGCACAGTTTAAGCATAGGAGACCTCAAAGCCTGCTCCCACAGTGACAGACTTCTTCCAAGAAGGCCACACCTACTCCAATAAGAACACACCTCCTAACAGTGCCGCCGCTAATGGGCATTCAACTACATTAGTCTATGGAGAGCAAACTTGTTCAAACCACAAGTGTCTTGCCATTTGCTGTATATCAACTAGATGAATGAAGCTGATGCAGTGATTATGGTCGGAGTTGAAAACAGCTCTGGATTCTCTCAAATTCACACAGATATATACCTTCTTGCATTACAGGTACTTTTGATGCTTGAGAACCAATAATCTCTCCAGAATTTCTGGGGATTCCATTCATGGTTATCATATGATAATGCAGAAGTAGAACTCATAGTCTCATTAATGAAGAAGTTTAAGAATGGATTCAAATGCAACTCATAGACAACTTTGTCCAAATTTAAAATTAAAACTTCAGGGAAGGCAAGCTGTATATTTTGTCAGCTATCTGGGAGAAGGGAGACGAGAAGGAGGAGGGGAAGTCATGATGTGTGAGTTAAACATGGAAGTTAGCTATGTAGTGGACAAGCAGCCACTTTGCAGTGGCAGAGCAGCAATAGAGAAAGGATACAAAAGCCTAAAGTGACAGGTTATCTCCACCAATGAAATGGTCCAATTCATGACAAAATAAATATAAAGGCTGGATCCCACCCTCAGAACTAAGCAGCTGGGGAAAGATGCTGTTGATTAACAGTACTTATTTGGAGTCCATTTGACTTGTGAGAGGCAGATTTGAGTGAATTCCCTGAAGCTTATAAGAATCTTTTTAAGTTTACAAAAAGAGATACGTTTTAGATATCTTAGTATTATCACTGTTTATTATCTGTACTAAAATCTATATTGTAGAAAAAGCAATAGACTCATGCTTTTGAGTCATAGTAAAACCTACAATAAAATGATTTGGGTGAAAAGCATTAACACTCTGTCTTCTCTCCAGAAGACTAGGTGTAAATAGTTCTGGCACAATGAGAAGCACTTTCTTATCACAGTTTAAGGTTTTATCTCCTCCAACCTTCATGTCTTGCATTTACCAACCTTAAAACACCTTACTAGAACCTTGCTTTCTTAGATCCTCAACTTAAGCTTTCATATCCTTAGACCTAACATAAACTTACACTTTTTTTATCCAATTATTCACCGTGAGACACGAGTAACCGGTTGATTACTGGGAGCACTCCCTATAAGTTGAGTTTTTTTAGATAAAGTAATCGTAAGAAGATACTTCTTTCACTAGTCTAGTCTTCAAACCCATCAAACACCTGAGAAGAATAAACTTTTACCTGAGTAAAGCAGGAAGTGCTGATGAAGCAGCTTCTGAGTTTATTAAAAATTACCAGCTACCTAGCCCCCAGATTCCTCTGTGACCACTGAGGCATCTTTCTTCAGCTGCCAGGCCCTGGAAGAGTTTTCTGTGAAGCAGGAACTTGGGAAAACTATCTTATCTTTGTCTAGGCAAAGAAAGGTAGTCAGTTTTCCAGTATCCTGCCTGTTCACAGTTTTCACAGTGTTCTATCAACAGTCAAGTCTACACTCCAGTGGCCAGCTTTGACATATTTGAAACAAGCTTCAAGTGGAAGTTCTTCTGTACCAATCTTCTTCAGGGGAGGTGATTATGGGTACTGTCAAGAGCTGGCAGGTCTATTATTAAAAGATTTTTAGCAAACCTGTTAAATGGCATATTCTGTATGTCTCTTAAGTGGCTGAGGACTATCTGCCTATCTAAATAGACAAACTGCTTGTTTCTAGTTATCCATCCTAGGCTTAACCTTGAAGATATATACAGTAGGCTAAATAAGGCCATCCCTGTTACATTTTGAGTCTTCATGATTTTTAACTGAAGCTGTTCTGGTAACAAAATAAAAGTTTTAATCATAGATATAGTTTATAGATACTGGCAAGTTTATTGTACTATTATATACCATTGTAGTTTTCTGTATGGATTATTTTATCCAAACAGCTAAAGCATAAAAGACAAAGAAGTTACAAAGATAAAATTAACAAAATGATGCTATAATATTTTAAGCCAGTGATTTTTAACCTTTTTAATGTTATAATCCTTTTAAAAAAAAAATTCTAACCCATGACAGACATGGCTCTCAGCCATGTGGCTGCCACTAGTCAAGACGGTGGTGAAGCCATGACTCCACCTTCTTTATCCCATAGTCAAGATGGTAGCCAGCCATGCACTGTTCATATATTTCTCACTGCCGACTCGGGTGTAGTCAAAAAGCTGTGGCAGGTGATTTAAAAGGCCAAGGATACTTCATCACCACAACTGTTGTTCAGACAGAAGAGAAATGGGTGCAGAGACACAACTGATGAAGGAAGGAGAGGTTTATTTTGGTTCATTGTCCTGGAGGTTCATATTTAGGATGAGGAAGTGCTCTTGACTGATCCTCTAGTAGGAGTAACATACCATGGTAGAAATAAAAATCAAAGTGAAAAGTTGAATCTCAAACTAGAAATGAGAGACAGGAGACAGTGAGATAGAGGAAGAAGGAAGGAGAGGGACACAATATCTTTGGATTGTATACTGCCAGTATCCTAAGGATTCTACTTTGAACCCTGTCTCTGAAGTGTCCACAGTACCTCCTTGTTGTACTACCTTGGAAATGTTTGGCTATTTGGGGAATGTCAAACCATAACAGAATCTTCCTCTCCCAACATTGCTGCAAGCATATACAGCCACACATGAGAATGGGAGCCAGATGGCAAGGAATGATAAGAGGTCACCTGTCTTTCATCAGATCATACTAGTGTCTTCCTTACACAATAATGCCCTTGCCAAAGGGGACTTTACACTGTCACAGAAGGTGAAAACCAGGGGAGACAAGTCATCTGTGAGATTGGTGTCTACCTGTAGAGAAGAGACTGGCTGGCTCACAGCCTTTGCTTCTCCCATATCCCATTGAGACTCTTGGCTGAGCAAAAGCTAGAAAGGATTTTCAAATAGTGAAACTCACCATGCCATATGGGCTGAGTACTCAGACCTCCAAATTCATGAATTGAAATTTTAATTACCAAGTTGATAGGATTAGGAGGTAGACCTTTAGTGATCGTGTTATGAAAGTGGAGCCTCATGAATGAGGTTGGGCCGTTACTAAAGATAGCTATCTCTGAAGAAGCTCGACTTCCCAAGACAATTACACCTTCATCTTAGTTTCTCAAGCCTCCAGAACTGTGAGAAATTAATTTCTGTTAAAAGGCACTCAGACTGCAGCAACTTGTTACAGCAGTAAAACTGGACTAAGTCACTATGAGTAGCTACCTTATTTCTCAAGTTAATTAAGGGTAACAGCAACATTCATTATGCAAACCACAACCCCCTTAAAATAGAAAATAGAATATAATTAGGAATAATGTTAAGAATACAATGATACATCAGAATGGACCATGAGCAAATTGGAAAAGGTGGTCGCATTAATCATAAAAGCACATGCACAGCCAATTCCTCAATAAGTTGACCTGTAATGCTTTTAAAGAACACAAATGTCCATACTGAATAGTAATAATGTTTTGTCTTATTTCCTATTTGCTTCCCATTCCCTTTACTGGACAAACCTAGATTATCTATGTGGCCAGAAATGCCAAGGACTGCCTGATATCTTACTACTATTTCTCAAAAATGAATAGAATGCTGCCTGACCCTGGTACCCTGGGAGAATACATTGAAACATTCAAAGCTGGAAAAGGTGTGTGAAATAAAACGGTAGCATCCTATTTCCTAACTCATGCCAATGACAACAGACAAGATTTTCAGTAGACATTTGCATTCCTCAAGGTCTATCAGGGAAGGCGATATACTCAGAATAGGTCAATTCTGAAGATTTTGGCAAAGAGACTATTGACAGTTATGAGCAAAGCTAGGGGAAGTCAGCAAGGGCTAGTGGGGGATTCTGGTGGTCCCTAGGCCCTGGAGCTACCAGAGGGACCTTTAATGGTAACTGAGCTTTGACAGTTCCAGCAGTGAACCACAGTGAGCCAAGACGAAATACACCAAGGAAACAAGTCCAACATCCTCCTGTCTCCAAAAGTCAGTGTCTCTTTGAACAAAGTCCAGCCACAAGCTATGTTTCATTTGCTGGGTATGGTTGGCAGAGCCAGCAAAAGATAACAAGCATGCTTGTTACCATTCAGCATTGCAGAGAGCAAAGTTCTCCAGATATCAGGTAGTAAGAGATTTCCCCAAGTTTATTTCAAAATCATACCATTAGAATGTTTTTAATATGTATACATATATAACATTGCATATATATGCATATATTATATTGCATATATAATGTATTGATATATAACATAGTATATACTATATTGCATATGTAAAATAAATAATGTTATATATTTAAACAATTATTATTATTGCTTAAAATTAATCTATGTGCATTGCAATGATGCAAGAAAGATAAAAGTTTTGAACTCAGTCATAATACAACCCACCACAGCAGAGAAAGTTGAATGATGGGAATAAAATACAAGGAATTTAGAATGTATCTTATCATCTGACTCAATATTCTTACAAAATGAAGCATCTAAGAGTCAGAAATGAATGACTACAAGGAAACTATCTTCTGGACACAGCAGAGGAGCTGTACATATATTCCAATTGTGAGAGTATTCATAAGGCCTATGAAAGCCCAAGCTATATCAAATCCTAGCATCAAGAGAGGATCTGGGCATTAACTTCTTCCCCTAACAAATGAGCTAATGGAGATTGTTATTTGCTTGGAGACACCTGATCAGTTTTCTCAGGTTAGTTTAATCTAAGAGTGTATATATCCTCTGATAAGTATACCGTGCTCCAGTGGAAGACAGCATATTTAAGAATATTTAGGGAGTACAGATTGGCCTTGATGGGAATAAAGAGATACAAAGTTGTGTGGAAGGAAAAGGAGGAATATTTCTAGTAAGACTTGGGAAGAGGGCTGAAAAATTATCAAATGTGTGTGTGTGTGTGTGTGTGTGTGTGTGTGTGTGTGTGTGTGTGTATGTGTATGTGTATGTGTGTGTGCATGTCAGTGTCTGTGTGTGTGTGTGTGTGTGTGTGTGTGTGTGTGTGTGTGTGTAAAACTGTCTTCTGTTCAGGATCCTTGTATTTTGTTTGTATTTATTAATTGGTCTTTTTTATTTAACAATCCATTCTCATTTGATAAGTTTTAAGGTGACAGTGACATCCCCTTTCTTTTCTCCTCAGTGCTGTGGGGCTCCTGGTATGACCATGTAAAGGGATGGTGGGATGTGAAAGACCAACACCGTATTCTCTACCTCTTCTATGAAGACATGAAAGAGGTGATGGCAGTGTGCTCTTGACTGTTGTCATCCCCCATTCTCATATACAAAAATTCCAGTGACATCCTGGAAGCCCACATCGGGCTTGTCTGCAGAAGATCCTTAAGCATGTTCTCTGCTTCCATGATACTCCATAACTCAGTCTTCCCCTAGAAACTTTGCAACTCAGTTTTTCCCTAGAAGATTTAACTACTTATTCCCTCTTTATACTCATAGTTTTCATTGTTTCTTTTCTCTTCAAAAAAATGGAAAAAGTTTTATACTCAAATCAACTGACTAGAATCTGACTCTTGTGACCCATGTTTCATTATCTAAAAGCTAGTTGTCTATCTCACAAAGTGACTAGAAATTTATCCAGTCATAGTTATAGAGTACAAAAAGTATAGCTTCTTTGTCCCTCTTCAAACATCACTGAAGCTCATCATTAACTAAGTTCTAGTCCGTGTGAAGACTGGCAGAATTAGACACATACAGTGTGGTACTTAACTGACATCTCTCTCTGTTTCTTCGTGAATGAGCAGAGTGTAATGCCTAAAACTAACCTATAAACCACACCTGCTCAGGAAAGAAGTAACTTTCTAGAATGTTGGGGATTCTAGCTTTTAGAAAATAACAAAGCCTCATAGGAAAATACAGTGGTCTACAGGTTTGTCTTTATAAACTCCTGCAACACATGGCTCAAGGCCTTTACATCTGGGTAACTCCAGGGAATGATCCTAACCAAAGTCCATCTCTTAGTCAGTATTTAATATTTAATAAAGCTTGCTTAAAATTTGACCCAAATTTTAATTTCGTTTTTCTGGAAAATCTTAGGATTAACATAGAGCACAGATCTACTCTCACAATCCTGTGGATTGGTGTGCTTATGTTACAAATCCACCTTCTACATCCAAGCTAAAAAGTCCAGAGTGATTTAACCAGAAACTATAGCTCTTTTTCTTTCATCAGAATGAGGCAAGCTGTAAGGGTTCATATCCCTGGGTCCACTTGATAGCTCTTTTGCTCATTCTCTTATTAGACTTCTCATAGCTCACAATCTCATTTTGCTGACTATTATAGCCAATATACCAAAGTTAATCACACAAATTAACAGATCCTCAGCTTCATATGATCTTCACACAATCCCTGACACCCAGGAAATAGAACAGCTCCCCTCCCAAAATTCCAGGTCCTGTCTCTGGAGACATTTGTTCCCCTACTACAAGTGAATCTGCTAGATGGCAAGAGTAGAACCTGGAACAGTCGGTATCCTGCACTAAAACTACATAAGATAAATTTCAATTGGTCCCTTGAAACATCTTTTTCCAAATATTGTTTGGGATATGAACCCTTGCAGGTTGCCTCATTCTGATGAAAGAAAAGGAGCTATGGCTTCTGGTTAAATCACACTGGATTTCTTTGCTTGGGTGTAGAAGGTAGATTTGTAACATAAGCACACCAATCCACAGGATTGTGATTAAACAACATGTCTAATGGAAGACCAAAATTATTTTGTATAACTATTCCACATATAGGACCCTAAAAGAGAAATTGAGAAGATAGTAAAATTCCTGGAAAAAGACATATCAGAAGAAGTTCTAAATAAAATCATCTATCATACCTCCTTTGATGTAATGAAGCAGAATCCAATGGCCAACTATACTACTCTACCCTCCAGTATCATGGACCACTCTATATCTCCTTTCATGAGAAAAGGTAGGTGAAATTGACATTCCGAGATGTCAAATAAACCTCATGGCCCTGCTTATATTTTCCACTGATATCCCATGCTACCTGACTTACTTTGCTAACAGGGATATTATTGGAGAGAGGTGGCTTGTGTACCTGTCCATCTTGGTGCAGGTCATAGGAGTGTATAGGCACTCCTCCCTCTGTGCCTGTAGCACTTCCTAAGAGTTCACTTTGTTTCAGGGATGCCTGGAGACTGGAAGAACTACTTTACTGTGGCACAAAGTGAGGATTTTGATGAAGACTACCGGAAGAAGATGGCAGGGAGCACTATTACCTTCCGCACAGAGATCTGAGAGCAGTAGGGTAGAGGAAAGTCCTAGGTTTCCTGACTATATGCTTTAGCTATTTGAGTCTCAAATCCTAAGCTGTTGCATGGTTCTGTATGTCCTATGATACTATTTCATCAAAATGTAATCAGACATTCTACAGAATGATTTTGGTTACATTATGTGATTATTGTTATTGATACCTACCACACAACCATGTACTTTACTGCACATAGGCAAAATAAATGGAATACCTTCACTAGTCTACAGTTGTCTTGTCTCAAGGCAAAGCTCATGAATAGAAAGACACACAGGAGAACATGATTTGACATAAAGTAAAACAGAAAAGCAAAGGGAATGAGAAGCAAACACTGAACATAAACCAAAGGCTAATTTTCTTAACAATTGTCTTCATCTGTTCTATGACACTTTAACAAAACACCTAATTTGTTTAAAAAGAATAAAAACTACTTCTTATGCACTGCTTTGAAGCCTGGGTGACTAAAGTCAAAGCTCCACACTAGCAAGCCCCCTTCTTATTGCACCCTCCCATGATGGAATATGGAAGGCACAGAGAGGTAGGAGAGGAGGTCAAGTTCATGTTCTCATCAAGAACCTGTGATAACTAACTCATTCACATGATAATATACTTAAAACTTCTGACTCCATTGAACCGATGACTGAGTTTCCAATATATAATAAACATTGCTATATATTCAGACTACAGCTATAGCCCAAGAATAAGACTCCCCATTTCAAGATTCCTAGACTATATAACAAGAACAACAAAAAGTCAGGCATAAAAGCTGCCTCTTAAGTTGTCAAAGTTATCTAATGTAACGGCCGTTTCTTTTGTAACAGCCGGTTCTGCTACTTTGTAAAAGCTGGCCGGTTCTGCTGCTCTGGTCTGCTGGTCAGGGTCTAGCAAGAGAGAGAGTGGGGACGGAGGAAGGGTGGGAAAAAGGGGGCGAGAGACGCAAAAGATAGATACAAGACAGAGTCTGGTGGAGTCTCTTCAAGTCTCTTCTTTATTCTCCCCTCTTCTTCTATATTCTCCTCACTCCTTCAGTCTCCTGACACCTCCCACTTTTTCAATAGAAAGGAAATCCTGGGTATTTATACCCTTTACCACATGACTTGCCCTCGTGGACAAGCTCAACTGAAGGCACTACGTCACATGCCTTGTAGCCATGGATACCAGGAGCACCTTGCAGCTGGGGGCACTAAACAGTGTAACAAGATGTTTATCAGAGTGTGCTCAGCTGTTGCAGGTTGTTGAAAACAAGTCTCTTGTCAGGGTATATGGCTCGAGATGGCTGTAAAGATGATAGCCACTTTCGGCTAAGAGTCGGCTCCCAACAATCTAACAGATTCCTAAAACTGTTATCTTCAGTTATCTCCCCGAAGTAGAAGGTAAGTGCCTACTGTTGGTGACAGCATATACTTTGAACCATGCACAAAACCCAGAAGATGTGAGTTGGATCCATCTTGAAAGTACACAGCCTGAGTGATGTGAGGACTATCATTTTTCCTCCAGCAATGAAGGATTAATCTCTCCAAATGGCGTGCTCTTACTTTAACAGTAGACACACACACACTTGGGCTCTCATGGACAAACATAGCTTTCAGGTAAATTTATATGCATTTTGAAGTGAGAGTTTATATTCTAGAACTCATTTTATGAGCAAGCAGCCAAACTTATACTTATTACTTGACATAAATAGTTCAAAATATCATATATGTGACAATCCAGACTGTTGTTTGGTTAACATAGACAGTAGCTATGTTTTTCTACTGCCATGTACTACTGGTGTTCTTTTTAGTACTATAAATAGAGTCATGGATATCTTAGATCTAGCCACATTAGTAAGTTGATTTTAAAGAAATGAACCAAAATTTCTCCTTAAGATGGTTTCTTTTGAACTGATATCTAGAGAAGTAGATACAATGCTACATGCATCCATGTATGCACACATATACACATAGGAACACAGTGTCACAGAAGACAGAAAATCCAAGAATTATACAGTTTATCTTTCAGTTTCAGTCTAAAGGCAAGCAAACTTCATAGTAAGAAGAGTAAAAGACTGTATAGATCAAGGTGCTAGGATGTGAGTTGTTAGTATAGCACTTGCTTAACAACTACAGTGTCCTGTGTTTGATCATGATTACTGAAAACTCAGGTAAGGGTTAAGCAGGAGAGTCTTAGCTTTTCAGAATAACTAATTATTTCATTGGTTCAGCTGATTGGATAAGGCTCACACACATGAAAGAAGCTAAACTCTACTCAATCTACCAGTTTAAATATTAATCACATCCAAAATCTACCCTCACAGAAATAGCTAAAGTAATGATTGACCAAATATTTAGGTTCTACATGATCAGTTATCCATAAAAACCTATGTATCATAAGCAGCAAGGCTGATATATCAAAAACACTTATTTTAAACATTTACATTCCAGAAATATCCATGCTCCTGTGGTAAATTTAGTCATCTTCGGAAAAGTTTGGTTGCCTCTCTGACCTTCTGCCCTCTTTCTTTCTTCACTAGTATATGTGTGTTTTGTAGATAGTTGCTCAATGTTGATACATTTCATTGTGATGGGAAACTCATTGAGAAACAAGATGCAATAACTCAAAGGACTCAGAAACTCCCTCAAATATACTAAATGTACAAAGCTCCTCTTTCTTTGGGGTTATATGACCAATAAGAATGGCTGAGAACACTCTCAGAACTTGTCAAAATGCCTGCAAGTTATCCAGAGATATTTGGGTTGTAGCTTTCATGCATTGCCGTGCATGCTGGTATAGGTTTTGAGTGATATAGCTGCCTTTGGGTTGTTCATGTTTCTGTAAGTAAAACCAATATACTTCTGTTTCACCAAGTTGGACATTGGTGCTATTGTTATTTTATCCACTATTGGTTCCTGATCCAGGATGAATAGCCGTTTGTTCAGTACTCTTCAAGAATAGTGTCATAGAACAGTATCCTTCATCTAGGACCTTATACCATCCCTGTAATCCATTTCTTGTTGCCTAATCCTGTTTCCTCAACCCTTATTATTGTTTAGTTCCAAATTAGTCTTTTTTTTTTAATTTTACTTTTTTTACAATCCAGTCTTTGCACTCCTCTTGGTCTGCCCTCCCACAATTCATCATCTCATTCATCCTATCCTTGTCTCCATAAGGATCCCCCCCCCCGCCAGACCTCCCCACTCCATAGTGCCTCAAGTCTCTCCTGTGTTAGTCATGTCTTCTCCCACTGAGGCCAGACCAGGTAGTCCTCTGCTGTATATGTGTCCAAGGCCTCAGACCAGCTCATGTATGCTGCCCAATTGGTGGCTCAGTGTCTGAGAGATCTCAGGAGTACAGGCTGGCTTCCTATGGGATCGCTTTTCTTCTCAGCTTCTTCCAACCTTTCCCTAATTCAACCACATGGTTCCCCAACTTCAGTCCAATAGTTGAGTGTAAGTATCTGCATCTGTCTCAGTCAGCTACTTGTTGGGACTCTCAGAGGACAGTCATGCTAAGCTCCTGTTTATAAGCACACCATTGCATCAGTAATCCTGTCAAGCTTTAGAGCCTCCCCTTGAGATGGATCCCAAGTTGGGCCAGTCACTGGATTACCTTTCCCTCAGTCTTTTCTGCATTTTTGTCCCTGCAGTTCTTCTAGACAGGAACAATTCTGGGTCAGAATTTTTTACTATGGGCTGGCAACCCCATCCCTCCACTTGATACCCTGTCTTTCTACTGGAAGTGGACTCTACAAATTCCCTCTCTCAACTGTTGGCCGTTTCATCTAATGTCTTTCCCTTTGAGTTCTGAAAGTCTCTTACCTCCCAGGTTTCTGGTACTTTCTAGAGGGTCCCCCACCCCCTATCCCTCACCCCCTCGTAGATTGCATATTTTCATTTATTCTGCTGGCCCTCAGGGCTTCCCTCCTGTCTCTCTCTGCCCCATACCTGATCCTGTTCCCCTTTTCCTCTCTTCCTACCCTCTCCCATCCAGGTCAAAAATTGTACCAGAGAATTATAACTTCAACCAAGTGGTTGGATATAAAATTAACTCAGACATATCAGAAACCTTTTTTGCAAATGATAAATTGGCTGAGAAAGGAAATAGAGAAACAACACTCTTCACAATAGTCACAAATAATATAAAATATCTTGGGGTAGCTCTAATCAGATAAGTAAAAGATCTGTATGACTAGACCTTCAAGACTCTCAAGAAAGAAATCAAAGAAGACCTTAGAAAATGGAGAGATCTTCCATACTGATGGATTGGTAGGATTAACATAGTAAAAATGGCTGTCCTACCAAAACCTATCTACAGAATCAATGCAATCGCTAACAAAATTCCAACACTATTCTTCTATACATGGAAAGAGCAATTCCCAATTTCATATTGAAAAGCAAAAAATCCAGGATAGCAAAAACAATCCTTAACAATAAAAAAAAACTTCTGGTGGAATGACCATTCCTGACTTCAAGCTCTACTATAGAGCAATAGTGACAAAAACCACATGGTATTGATATAGAGATAGGCAGGTTGACCAATCGAATAGAATTGAGAACTCATAAATAAACCCACACACTTATGGACACTTGATCTTTGTCAAAGAAGTTAAAGATATACAATGGAAAAAAGAAAGCATATTCAATAAACAGTGCTGGCCTAACTGGCTGTATGTATGTAGAAAAATGAAAATAGACCCATACTTGCCACCTTGCACAAAGCTCAAGTCCAAGTGGATCATGGACCACAACACAAAACCAAATAAATTGAATCTCATGAAGAGAAAGTGGGAAAGAGCCTTGAATTCATTGGCTCAGGGGAAATTTTCTAAACAGAACTCAAATGGCTCAGACTCTAAGATAAAGAATTTATAAATGGGACTACATAAAAGTGAAAAACTTCTGTAAGTAAAAATATTCTTAAAGAGAAGCTCCACATACACCATTCTCATACTCAAACACTTTAAAGTATCAGATAACAATATGTAACTTAGCTTGTGGGTAGATTGATGCTGTCAAGAGCCCTGACTCTTATCTGTCACGAGCAGGTTGTGATAAGGTTTTAGTATCCCTGCAGGGAGAGGAGCAACAGATCCTCCTCCACTCAGGGATCCTATGCTGGATTTGGCCATGAGATTATCAGCTCCACGAGAGGGGAGAGAGAGTAACCAGAGACAAAGGTTTTGACATTCAATTGCTCTTTAATGATGCATAGCAGACAATATAGTATCACCAATGCTAAGGCTACTGCCACAATGAGGTATTGCCACATTTCCTATGCATTGTCTCTAACAATATCATCACAATGAACACAAATAATAAATTGCTAATTACTAAAGAAATAAGCATAGAAATAAATACATAATTCAGTCATGGTTTATACGACCTGAGTCCTTATGATGGTCTCGGTTACAGGTCCGGAGTCCAAAAATTGTAAAGGACTTTATTGGACTTGATTTGCTCT